ATTAAAATTACCAACGTAAGAAGGGGTAATTTCCACTCTTTATCGCGATTTATACAACAACGGATAAACTACATACGATCCCCCAGCAAAATTCAGTTAGAAGACATACTTCTCTTTTAGGTTCACGCAGTATATCTTCAATTTATCCCTGTCTTTCACTTGTGCCAGTCCAATATAAACACGATTCATTAATTCTAACTCTGTCTATGGAAGTGTAAGGGGAGCGTTTCAAACATAATTGTTTGCTATTGCTTGAATATGTGCATATCGGGCAAGCAAAAGGAAAGGAGTAATTTGAATATGAAATGTTAAAAATTATAACAGCACACACGAGCTTAAAAACAACCCTTACTCTTGAATTAAACACAAGTCCCCATAATAAATCTACATGCCGTGTATTAATTATGACACTTTCCCTGTCATGTCAGCTCAAGTATGCAGTGACTTGACGTCATATTCTATTATGACGTCATATCTTGGTAATTCAGAGAAGTTACTACAGATTGAACTGTTTGATATTTTACGGGCAGCCTTATCCTAGCTGCGAATCCAAGTTTCCTCCATAAGTGTGGAACGTAAGATAAATAATCTTATACGAAAGATTGACATACATGCAGGGAGTTCCCTAAATCGTAACTTATGTAGATAACCTACTTTTTATGTTATTCCGACATTGTAAACCCTAGTATGATCCTCCAACTGACATAACTCCAATTCCCGCGAATCTGGCATTGTTTTTAAATGCATCGAGATCGCTTAGCACAATAAACTTCCGGTGCAGGTAATTGCGGGAAAGGGGAGCGGATCGTACGTCATTTCACTAGCAACGTAATACGATATAAACAGCTGTCAGCTGTCATCTGCAGCTTTTTACTCATTACCTCAATCTGACGATGACAGCTAGGGAAAAAATAATGGAAACCAAAAGCAGTTGGGTAATTAATTAATTAATTAGATTAATTTATTAATATTGGGAACTGATGCCTGTGGTTATTTAAATTTATTTTTTTTTTATTATTGAAAAGAAATATTTTTGGGTATTCCCACATTTGGGAAAAACTTTATATGGGATATTAAAATCCCATTCTTATTGATATTAAAATCCCATTCTTATTGATTTATTGGAAAGATTTGCTTTTATAATTTATTACCGCCCAATAACCCATCCTTGACAAATTAATTTATTTTAACGAAGTTTTATATAAAAAAGTTATTTGGTATTATAATTTCTATCTGATATACAGATTTGGGAGACCCACAGTTACTTTAACCCAAAACATAGTGAAAAGGGTAAAAACGTAACATTGGTGTCAGAAGTGGTATAATTGTGAATATTAAAATCCCATACTTTGATTGGATAGAAATTAAAAACAAATATTTTAAGATTCATAATTTTTTTTTACCCAATTTGAACATTTTTTTGTAAAAGATAAAAAAAAATGTCCCAAAATAACAGCAACTTAGAAGACTTTGGAGAAATAGTTTTTAATCCCAGATCTTGTTTGGGATCACCCAGGTTATCCAGAGATGACCATGTTCTATCTTTCCCCTAAACAAGCATCAGTGACCCATCAGTCTGAAAACATAAATGAGCAATTGTTAAATGCAATGCATAATATGACAAAAGAATTTTTATGCATTAGACATGAAGTTGGGCAACAAAAAAGTGAAGTGAGAGATGAATCCCAAAGATTGTGGTTAGAAATAATCAAACTCAAACAAAAAGATGAAATAAATAGAAAAACCACTTCCCAATCTATGAATGGGTATGGGGAATCTATTGTTCATCCAGATATGGGTATGCTCTGTGGAGCTAACAAAGGAAATTTCAGCCCCGTAACTACCCATGGGAACTCAGAACGTATAGATCAAAATGAAAATACTTGTGTTTTTACAAGGCTAGCTAATGTGGCACCTGCATCCAAATCTCCCATTAGCATAAAACCTCAAACTTTTGATGGGAGAGATGACTTTGACGAATACTTGCTACACTCCATAATTGGGACCATCAAACAAAATCTCTATGCCTTGCAAGTAGCTTGACAGGTGGGGCTAGAGCAGTATTGACAGAGTTAAACGAATCCCAACGACATGATTTTGATTCATTAGTAAGGGCTTTCAATACCCGTTATGGATCTGTAGAACGGTCAGAAATGCACCGTGCTCAATAAAAGGGCTTGATAAGGGGAAACTATGAATTTATTCCCGAACTATCCCAATCAGTAAGTAAACTGACAAGAAGGGCATATTCAACAGCAGACCCAACTAGGACAAATGACTTGGCTCTGGATCACTTAATCAATGCTCTTACAGATTCTGACATGCGCCTGAGACCAAAAGATATTAAATAAATAAAGCCGAAATATTGGCAATCAGGTTCGAAACCCACAAACTTGCTGACGCCCAAAGTGCTTAATCAATTAACAATGTAAAAGTTACCCCAGAAAAAGAATCAGATATTGTTGGGGCTATTAAGAAAGCTATAGGAAATGACTTGCAAGATCTTACCAAAGAGATTCAAAATTTTGTGAAGTTCAATCAGGGGCAAGAACCATATTTCAATAATTCCCAAAATCTACCTTCCTATATTGGAAATAGACCCAATCATAGACGGGATAACAATGACAATCGTTCACGACAAAATTTCACCCACAATAGGAATCCAACAAACTACCACACGTCGGGTTCGGGGGTCGGAAGTCGACAGAGATATGGGGCAGACCCCAGGCAACGACATTAGAAAATAAAACAAAATTAAGTAAAGAGACTAGTTCAGTCAGACTCAATGAAAAATTTGAAACTGAAAACGAGACTCAAACTCCATTAAAGAATAATTCAAAGGAAATTATGATGAACGACATTATGAAAGTTAAAAATGATGAAATGTATGTAGTAGGGAAAATAGAAATCAAAGTGATACCCATGTTAGTGGATACTGGGGCTAGTGTGAGCGTACAGGTAAAAATCTCACCAGAGGATAAACCCAAAACTGCATTTTCAATTCCGGGGGGTGGTCATTGGCAATTCCTAAACATGCCGTTTGCGCTTTGCAACGGCTGAGGCCACATTTGAAAGACTTATGGAAAAGGTTTTATCTATCTTGTCATGGAAAATTTGCTTAGTATATCTAGACGATATCATTATTTTTTTCAAAACTTTTGAAGAGCACATTGACAACTTGAGACAAGTTTTCACCCGACTAAAATAAGCTAACTTAAAAATGAGTCCAAAGAAATGTATATTTTTACAAAAGGAAGTTTCATTCCTTGGAAATATTGTAAATGAATATGGGATATCTACTGACCCATCAAAGATTGACACAGTTAAAAACTGGTCTAGTCCCAAAAATGTTAGGGAAGTGAGAAGTTTCCTATGACTTTGTTCCTATTAAAGGAAATTTGTACATAAATTTGCAGATATTGCCAAACCGTTGCATAAGTTGACAGAATCCCAAAAAAATTCTTATAGGAACCCAATTGTCAAGAGGCATTCGACACATTTAAGAAAGCTCTTATTAGCACTGACATCTTAGCATTCCAAAAGAATGAAGGCCTGTTCATCCTTGACACAGACGCCTCCAAAACGGTTTTAGGGGCAGTCCTTTCCTAAGAACAAGATGGGGTTGTCAAGGTCATAAGCTACTTTAGTAAAACTTTTAGTGCAATTGAACGACGCTACTGTGTCACGAGAAGAGAACTATTAGCTTTTGTCAAATCAATAAAACATTTCCATCACTATTTATATGGAAAACCTTTCAGAGTGAGAACTTACAATGGCTCACTCACATGGCTTTTGAACTTTAAAAACCCAGAAGGTCAGCTAGCCCGATGTTTCGAATTACTGTCTTCATATGACTTTAAGATTGAACATCGAGCAGGTCGATCACATAGCAGTGCGGATGCCCTATCCCGTAGATCTTGTGTCGATCAAAATTGCAAACATTGCATGAGAGCTGAAACAAAATATGGGTCAGAAATAATTGACTAAGTTAGTACTTAACAAGTTAGAACCATACCTGAATCATGCCAGGTTGTCACTCGCTCTGGAAATCATGAAACTACTTTACCATCTACTTCTCAAGATCCTATAAAAGAATTATCACTTCAAAATAAGAGTTTAGAACAGATACAAGAGAATGACCCAGGTATTAAAAAGGTTATAGAATGGGTAAAATTCCAGAATATACCTAACTGGGAAACTATATCAAATTTGAGTGAAATATGCACATATTACTGTGTTAGCTTCGATTCCCTCAAATGGCAAGATAACATTCATTATCATAAATGGGAACACGTTACCCAAAAATTGCAAGTAATTTTTCCCAGTTCATTTGCTAAAGAAGTTTTGGAAGAAATCCACAATGGCATCACTGGGGACATCTGGGTTACAAAAAGACATTATCAAAAGCTCGAGACAAATATTTTTGGTACAAAATGTCTCATGACATTCGACATTACTGTCAAACTTGTGACATTTGTGCTTCAAGAAAATCTCCCAATAAGTTGCCAAAAACTCCCTTACAAATTTATAATGATGGGGTACCAATGGAACGCTGGGCATTAGACATATTGGGACCACTACCCATTACCCATAAGAAAAACTCATATCTGCTAGTTATAGGAGACTACTTTACAAAATGGGTTGAAGCAATCCCTATGAAAAATAAAAAGGCTACTACAACATCCCAGAAGTTATTGGAATATATAATACCTATCTTTGGAGATCCAATGCAATTACACTCTGATTAAGGTAAGATGTTTGAGTCTACTATATATATTCCAAGAATTGTGTAAACTACTGGGAATAGAGAAGACCCGAACTTCACCTTACAGACCCCAATCTGAACGGGATGATTGAAAGGGCTAATAGTACAATTGAAAATATGTTGTCAGCTTTTGTTGATAAAGATCAGAAAAATTGGGATGAGTTAGTACCTTTACTTTTGTTGACGTATAAATCCTCAGTACATGAATCCAGAGGGGTGAGCTCAAATGAAATGTTCTTTGGTCGACAAGTTGCACTCCCTATTGACTTGGTACTTTGGAGACCTGACCCTGAAAGAAGCAACATTTCGGAATATATACAAAATTGATCGGAGAAAATGAACAAAATTTACAATTTTGCCAAGGAAAATATTAAATTAAATTCCCAGATGATGATAAGAGAGTATTATAAAAAAAATCCAACACAATCCCTATAAAATAGGCGATGCAGTAGGGGTACACTTTCCGAACCAAAATCTGGGTTTAAAACGAAAGCTATCCAGGCATTGGGCAGGACCATTTAGAATCAAGAGAAAATTAATGACGTTCTCTACAAAATTCAAAAGCACCCTAGACATAAAGGGGATGTAATTCACCATAATAGATTAAAAATCTACAATGGAATAAATATTCCCAAATGGTTTCAAGCATAAAAACTCTACACTTTGGTGTATATATACGTCTAATACAGTATACATACAGTATATAGATTGACATATTGTTCAAAATTTGATTGACATATAATTCAAATTTTGATTGACATGATTTTACTGTTATTATATTATTATTGCACATTTTATTACTATGACATGGTTCCAAGGGAACTAAAAAAAAAATTTATTTTTACAGATCCAGCGCTTCAAATGCCTTCTTTGGAATGGAAGGGAATTTACAAATCAGATACATGCTGAACGCCACTTGACTGCCACCCATTCCGGGTTTGGGTACCTATGCGTTATGTGTCATTACATGTTGGGTCGCAAAGACCAAAACACGGGTGTAAGGGATACAACCTCCAACTTCTCAAGAGATCGAACATGAAGTATGGGGAAGAGGAACGCAAAGAATTTGCTGAATTCCAGAGGAAGAGATCGATCAACTCTTGTTGAGGCTTTCATGAAAGAAGTCATTCCCAACTTCAATCCCACCTCAGGAGCAAAAAGAACAATCTATATGGACACAGTGGTACTCACAAAGAAACAAGAAGTAAACAAAAAAAGCGACAATGACCAGAGAATTCCAGCTCCTGGTCCAGTACCAAGTCCTAAACCTGTGGAACAGCCCCAGTCTCAGGCACAACCAACCGTATCCGCTACTTCTAATCCAAAGGCAAAGAAAACTTACAAATCCAAGTCAGTCGTATCTTCGGTATCATCATCATCATCATCTTCAACCTCAAATGCAGACTCTAGTTCCTAATCTACAAAGAAATCAGAAAATCCCATCAAAGATGTCCTTTCAATAAATGCCTCAGAAGAAGAAAGTTATGAAATTCAGGAATCTAAAGAAGTACCTACATATTCACAGACTAACCAAATGAAAATTAAACTTAACATACTCAAAGAACAACAAGTTGGCCGTGTAATACTGAATGTGGGGGAAGAAAATTTGAAACCAGCAGACGGACACTTGCCAGCGACCCATCCTCATTATTGGCAGCAATGACTAAACCAAATTCACCAATCAAACCATCCAACGATACCTACTTTATAGACGAAAATCCTTGTTACTTTGATTTCGTGCTTGACTATCTAAAGTCACCCGGAGCGTTTCCTAATATCCCACCATCCGACTTCACAGTGTTGCGTCAGCTTTACGTGGAGGGAAAATTTTATAGTCTATCTGGGTTAGTATTAACAGTTGAGAAGAAGGGACAGTCAGAGCCTCTGTGGAAAGAAAACTAATGGGATAGATGTACACTGTTATATATTCTGAGTTGTGATAGATAAACACTGTGATATATTCTGAGTTGTGATAGAAAAAAACACAGTGATATATTCCAAGTTGTGATAGATAAACACTGTGCTATATTCTAAGATGTGATAGATATGCACTGTGATATATTCCAAGTTGTGATAAATTTTCAATATGATAATCTGAGTTGTGGTGTATTAGTAATTTTCATTTATGTTTCTTATTGTTTGAATATGATATAATTGTTATAATTGTTATTTGATATGTAAATAATGTTTTATTGTAAAATATGTACTGAATATTTATTATCAACATGACAAACTAATGAAAATATACTTACCTTTGACATCAGTGATTTCTCTTCCTTTCAATGGTTTGACATAGTTCCCATTCGAGGACGAATGCCTATTAGGAAGGGGGGAGGCAGTGTTACGATTTATGATTTTAATATTTTATATTTTAATGTCATTTGGTTTTATCGACATGTTGTCAATCCTAGTTTCCTCCATAGGTATGGAACGTAGGTTGACAAATAATCTTATACAGTACCCGCATCGTTATTCTTTACAGGATACACGATACGATAGGAAACACGCACGATACGATAGGATACACGCATAAAACGATAGGATACACGCACGATACGATAGGATACACGCACGATAGGACACGATAGAATTGTAAAGAATAACGATGCGGGTACTGTACCAAAGATTGACGCACATACAGGCAGTTCCCTAAATCGTTACTTATGTAAATAACCTACTTTTAATGTTATTCCGACATTTTAAACCCTAGTATGATCCTCCATCTGCCATAACTCCAATTCCCGCGAATCTTGCATTGTCTTTAAATAAATCGAAATCGTAAGATCTATCTATAGTAGTTTTCACAGTTTTCTCAGTATGCATGACCGTGAAGCCGAGCATGCGTATTCAAGGAATTTGGACTAACGTAGTTGCTAGCGCTCGAGAGTGCTAGCAATAAACAGCTGTCAGCTGTCACCTGCAGCTGTTTGCTCATTACCTCAATCTGACGAGAACAGCTAGGGAAAAAAATAATGGAAACCCAAAGCAGTTGGGTAATTAATTAATTAATTTATTAATATTGGGAACTGATGCCTGTGGTTATTTAAATTTATTTTAATAGTTTATTATTGAAAAGAAATATTTTTGGGTATTCCCACATTTAAGGAAAAACTTCATATGGGATATTATTATCCTATTTTTATTGATTTATTGGAAAGATTTGCTTTTATAATTTATTACCGCTCAATAATCAATCATTGACAAATAAACTTATTTTAATTAGGTTTTATATAAAAAGTTATTTGGTATTATAAGAAGAAGGTATGGTTTCCATACAAATTTTGCCCTGTGATTTTCTAAAAAATGAAACTGGTGTAAAAGTTGAAAACTAATGCTTTTTAAATAATTGAAATTCAAAGCAGAAAAATCATACAAGTCATTTTTCTCACATGTGTTTTTAAATGCTAATTATGACGTTATAAACATGTGCATTTTCCCGTATTTTCTAAAAAAAAAGTTGCAGAAGACACAAATTTTCAATTGAATTTTCTTTCAGATAACATTGTCCACAGGCATCGCCCACAAAGATCTTGAGATATGTGATTTGTTATTGAATTTTGCACAAAATATCAAAAAATTAACGTGGGCGACGGCTGTGGACACTGTTTTCTAAAGGAAAATCACCCTTTGAAATGTGCCAGTTTGAGTCTTTTTCTGTTGAAAATAGAGAAATGCTTCACATTAATGACGTCATATTTGCAGAATGGTAAACTTTCATGCCATATTCTTTCCTGATTTATAAAAGTCATTTATTTAACTAATATTTAAGCCAGTTTCATAACTTTTTGATGTCATTACATTTTTAGGGCGCAATAAAGCTAAAACCATACCTTCTTCTTTCTATCTGATATACAGACTTGGGAGACCCACAGTTGCTATAACCCAAAACATAGCAAAAAGGGTCAAAAACGTATCATAGACATGACTGTCAAAACATGGCTGAAATATTGCAGCAATAAACAATGAATTAATAGGTATGGCTCCAAAAAGGGGCAGCAAACTAAAATGCTACACTGTAGCTTTTCAAACATTTAGCAAGATGTAAACTTGTAGTGTTCGTTAAATATTTTTGTATTAACTTTAAATTCATATATATTTTTCGTATTCAAATATTTCATGAAAGTCATGGTTTTGAAAAGTGTGGGAAATGTTTTCGCCTTTTTGCAAACTGTTGACGAAAAAATTAAGATGCTTAAGTTAGAGGTAAACCCAGTTAAAAGTTCAATTGAGATTTTCTGATTATCCATAGTTCTGTATCTAACTCTCTGCCCTTCTGCACACTTAAAACTTTTCTAAAGAATCACCTCAACAGTGTACAATTTTATCTAAAGTTGCCACAAAAAGTCCGTTGGTACTGGGATAATTCATTGCTCATATGAAGGGCATACACAAATTCAAGAGGGATTTTGCCCTTGTTGGATGAGTACGCAACATGTAAGTCTTGTTCATGCAATTGTGAACTTCATCTATCTTCAAAATACCAAGGGGAAGAGAACGTTTTCAAAGAATGGATGCATTTTAACTTGACCAGCAATATACCCAAGTCTAATCCCTACACAAAAACCCTGGTATTTGTAAGAAAAAAAATATTTCCAACATTGAATGACTGAAAAATAAAAAAAAATGTGATCGTGGGTACATAAATAACTACCATTGATCCGAATAATAGTTTTCAAACGGTTTTTTAAATGATCGTTTGAAAAACGCCGTTAACCTTTAGGGTGCATATCTGCAAATACAGCATCACACGCACTTGTAACACCAGACTATTTTACCTCTTTTTATATTTCCTGTGTTGAGTGACATAATTAAACATGTATTTTCATTTCAATTTGTTTTCTCTGTGATAACTCTTTGAACGTTAGGTTTGTTGATTTCTTGATAATTCAACTGTAATGTAAAATTCACCAAGCGAAAGATCAGGAGCTAAGGAGGTCTGATATACATGAAAATTTCGTGCGACCTATTTTTTGACATTGGGTATGGACTATTGAAATGGACATCGGAGGCCTCGTGTGATTTAAATCTTTATCATTTTTTTAAAAAACTAATTTTACAATTTTACTTCACAATGAAAAGGAAATATAATGAATCGCTGTTTAGTTTGTTGGGTATCCCAGAGCATCGCCTGTTATGCAAATTATTCCACCTTTCAAGCTATCGTTGATGACCTGGCATAGCTATCAAACTAAAGAATGATTCCTTAAATATTAAAAAATTGATTAACATATGTCAAATCGTCTATGCTACAGAATGAAATCAAAACCTGACTCACTTGTACACTTTCCTTTGCAAAGTAAACCATGAGTCCCCATAGGACACTTTAAAGAACAGTTTTCGCCATATGATCCAGGTGGGCACACTAAAAGAATTGTTTGTTTATTAAAATAATAATCCTTAATTTGCTTAAGAACAAAAAAAACTTATCAAAGCAAGACAGTATGTATTGTGTGTTTTCTTTTTCTTTTTTTGATTCGATGATAAAATCTTTTGATTATAACATTTTGGACACTTTTCTTCCCTATGGTCGCAATTGTTGAGCCTGGATTTAATATACATTAAAACTTGTCATTCACATTTTTTCCTACGCAGTACAGTTAAGGTTCGCAATGGAAATATCGACTAAATTTTAGATTTAAATATGTATTTGTAATCGGGATGGCGATATTTTAAAATACATTATTTATATGGGATAATTGTAATTATGATTAATAACTACATATCGAGGACGATTATATTTTATATTTAGACTAGTCACGTGATGCGGGAGTCACCCGATTTTAGCACATTTACTTGAATTATTGATGTAACATATAAATATCACTAGTGCAAGGGCATAAACAAGTTAAATTTTAAAGTTTAATATATAAATATTTTCAACACGCATCGTAGTTTCTGAAAAGTGCTGCGATCCTTTCTAAATTCTACAATTTCATTGTTAAAATTATACTTGTATGACAGTATGCTTTATCTCATACGTGTTCGTGATATAGGCCGCTGGATAAACTTTTGCTTTATCAACGGGTAGATGCTTTATCAATAGCACTTCCGGTTTTGACACGATCCCTCGCTTCAAGATTTTATTTTATTGAAACTTTTATTTGTGAAAATTGTTGCCCTTATAAAATGAGTGATAAAGGGCAGTAATATCGTTAAAAGCAAGAAAAGACTGGTATGTGTCAAAGAAGTGTCTTAATTTATCATGGAGCCCGTTTTGGCTACTTGAAGACAGATGTTACCCCCCCCCCCTTAATCGTTTTCGGAAAAAGTAAAGCCTACCAGTTAAGTTGTTGTTATAAGACTCCTTTGACATCTTCAACAATGCTTTCTTATATTATACTCCGTATGCCTACCTAGTAATGTAGGTGTAACTTACCATGGATCAGCAATGGATCTAGACAACTAACGTTAGGCCCTTAGCGGCTAGCCTTGCCTAGCATTTTCACGACCCCCATAGTCCTATAAACTTTCAGTCAGAAGTTCGTTTGATGTGAAGTTCCAGCAATTGTCACATGATGTTTTCAAAGAAGCAGATAGCAAAAATTCTAAATATTGAACTCGATCTACTTTCTCCCGACGCATGTAAACATCAACGGTGTTACGTCATCAAGTTATACGTCATCAATTTGAATTGGCAGTCATTCATGTAGTTTCGCAGGGGGGGTGGGTCTCAAATTTTGTTAAAACAAAAGTCGTATGAAATAAATAGAACATCCATAATAGTGTGATTTGATATTGGCTTTATCCAACTTGTTGAAATGGTGTATATTCGCTCGGCAAGCCTCGCGAATATATACACCATTTCAACGAGTTGGATAAAGCCAATATCAAATCACACAATATAGATCTCCTCTATACATTTTTTGCTGGTCAGCGGCATGAAATATTGATATAATTAAATTGTTTTTTCGATTTCATCAGGATCGCAGCACTTTTCAGATACCTTAATAGTTCTATAGTTAAAATGTTAAGGCTTACTTTGATCCATAGAGTGCATGCCCTTGCACTAAATCGATTTATTAAGACCCCCACATTACCCTCCGTTGTACTTGCATACAAATATACGGCAGTGTCAATTAAATAGGTAATGTACAGAAAATATATTGCTAAAATAGTGAAGAAGACATTAAATTCAAGTTATTGGACCATATAATATCTGAAAATAATATTTTATTTAATTATAGAATACATATTATGTTGAGAAAATATTACTTGATCTGTCTTTCACTGCATACAAACTACGTCACGTTGTAAGAAATGACGTCATATTGACAAGTGTATTGCGATCAGTGAATAAGTGACTTGTTTATATAACTTGTTATGTGGGATTTA